TCTTTTTCATTTCAATATGATTACATTGTGGTCTACAATCTTTCTACTAACCAATGAAAGTTGCAGATTGAAAGCCCTCCATGTCTTCATAGTCAATCTCCATAAGCCAAAAAATTCTCCACCTGGTAGGTGACTTGGTGAGAAGTCTCTCTACCTTAGCTAGGCTCATACTCATATAATGGGCACACAGTCCATTGCTGTCCTGGAACATTTTCCAACTTGAGAGGACCTGCATCTGTTTCACTGACATGGCCTTTGAGAAGTCAGGTTCATCTCGATGAAGTAAGCAAGCTTTTAATGCCTACTCAGTGCTGAGCACTGGGCTAGATGCTGGGGATGCAAACCCAAGAGACCTCGTCTTCAAGACTTTCCATCCTACAAAAGAGTTTGTTGTTCAGTTGTTTTTCAGTCATGCCCAACTCTTCGTGACCCCTTTTTAAGGTTTTCTTAACAAAGATCCTGGAGTAGTTTGCCATTTCCTTCTCCAGCTCATTTTACAAATGAGGAAACTGAGGCTAACAGGGTTAAGTGACTTGCCCAGTGTAACACAGTGTCTGAGGCCAGATTTGAACTGAAGGAGATGAGTCTTCCTGTCTCCAGGCCTGGTGCCCTGTGAGCTATGGTGCCACCTAGCTGCCCACAAAAGAGCACATACAGAAAATATAGACAATAAATGTACAGTGTTGACTTTAGGGCTAACAACTGAGGGAGACTGAGGGAAAAGGCATCTTGAGGATGTTATTTTAACTGAGCCTTGGTGGGAGCTAGGAGTTCCAAGAAATGGAGGTGATGTAGGGGAACATTCCAGCATAGGAAGGAAACACTGTATGTGTAAGGAACATTTAAGGAGGCTAGTTAAGCCAGAACACAGTCTGTGAAGAGGAATAACATGCAATTAGCCCAAATAAAAGAAAAAAAAAAAAGGTCTAGAGCCAGAATGTGCAAGACTTTAAAAGCCAAACAGAAGAATTTTTATTTTATCCCGAGGGCAAAGGAGAGCAGTTGAAGTTTCTTGAACTGGAGACTGACATGGTCAGACCTATGCTTTTAAGAATATCATTTTAGGAATAATTTGGCCATTTTCTAGAGAATAGAGGGAAGAGACTGGATTGGGGGGCCTACTTAGGAAACTTTTACAATGCTGTCCAGGTGAGAAGTGATAATGTGGGTGCTGTGGTGTGAGTGGAAAGAAGGTGGTGGATGGGAGGGATATCAAGGAAGTGGAAGTCAGTAACACTTAACAAGTGGATTGGAGGGAGAGGGAGAGTGAAAAGTCAAGGGACCTTGGTGACAGGAAGAATGTTTGTGCCCTAGACAGAAACAGGGAAATTAGGAGGATGGGAAAGAGAATGACTTCTGATTTGGACATGATGAGTTGGCTCCAGCAATGGAACATTCAGGAGGAACTGTCAAGCAGGGACTGGAGCTCAGGAGAGAAATGAAGGCTGAATATGTAGGTCTAGAAGTCATCTATATAGGTATAACACTTGAACACTTAGGAGGAAGGAAGGAAACAAGGATTTCTTAAGCACCTACAATGAGCCAGGTACCGTACTAAGCACTCTACAAATACCTCATTTGATCCTCACAACAATTTGAGGAAACTGAGGCAGTCAGAGGTCTGGGTCTGTTGACAGCTCAGGGTCACACAGCTAATATCTGAAGGCTGGATTTGAATTCAGGTCTTCCTGACTCCAGGCCCAATGCTCTGTATCCATAGTGCCACCTAGCTGCCTCTGATCACCAAATGACAGGAAGAGTGGAGAGACCCAGAACAGAGTCCAGAGGTAAACCTGCCCACATAGGGAAGGGCATGGATGATGAATCTGCAAAGGAAACTGAGAGAGATCAGTCTGACAGGTAGGGAGACAACCATAATAGAGCCCTGTTCAGAAAACCAACGAAGAAGGAGTATCTGAGAAGGAAGGGGGTGAAGTAGGGTGCTTGTTAGAGTGGATAGTCAGGTTAATGTGGGTTAGGACAACCTAACTTAAGTCTCACCTCTGATACATAGCAGCTGCAAGACCCTGGGAAAGTAATTAGCCTCTAAGCAACCCCACACAATTTACCCTGGCAACTTTCTCAAAGGTGGAGGATAATTCTTGATGTATATTAGGTAATGGAGTTTTCTCATTACAAGCTGGCCTACACACTGTCCAGGTTTGGACAAAAAAAAATTGGTAATTAATGCAACAAAGATTTATTAAGTGCCTGCAATGTGCTTGGTACTGAAAGCCACAGAATTTTAGCTCTAATACTGGAACAGACTTCAGCTGCCATCAAATCCAACCCCTTCTTTTTACATATGAGGAAAATGAGGCCAAGGGAAGTTGACTTGTTCATGGTCACATAAGCAGTGTCAGAGATGGGCTTCAAAGATGAAAAAAATGAGCTAGTCCTTTGTCCTCAGAGCTTGAAATATAATGAGAGTGGGACACAATAACATATACACAAATAATACAAGGTGAGAAGGGGAAAAAGATCAATGCAAAGTGCTATAGGAAAATCTGATTGGGGAGAGACCACTTTGAGCAGGGGTGGGAATGCTTCTCATGAAGGAGCAGCACCTAGCCTGAGCCCTGAAGGAGGATTCCACCTGGCAGAAGGGAGGAAGGAGTTTCTTCCAAATACAGAGGACTGTGTACAGACAAGAATTTAGAAGTTACATCCCATCACTCAAGGTAAAGAGAGCACTCCTAATGGATATACTTTTCCACATTACTTTTACAATAAACTCATAATTTATTTATTTTGGCAGAATACTATGCAGTAAAATTCTTAATTCATCACTCCACATTTTTCCTCAGGAGACTATCACTAATTCAGAACCCATCAGCATAGATGAGCAGTGTAAATTACTGTTTTCAACATGCATTACTTTGCACTTATCCACAATGGATTGCATCTACCATCCTGTTGTCTGAGCCCAGTTCATGTCTCATAATTCTCCTCGTATTCCAAGTAGACTCTTTTTAGAAAGCTCATCATCACTGCTATTGGTACTGGAAAAAAGTAGATTTTTACGGTTTTCAGACCCTACCCTGCTCATATGCTTTAATTAATTAGCTTTAATAATTATCTCCCCTCCCCATGTAAAACATTCACTATATCTCTTGCACCAAAAATCCCTGTTGTCCAATATCTAAATTACCACCTATAGCATAAAGTATTATCAAAACATACTGTTTTATTTGGCAGTAATCCAATTCCATCAAAGTTTATCCACTTTGGAATCAAATTTCTGTCAGGTAAACAATTTTAAGGGTATCACTACCACCAAGGTTTTGCTTAATGACAGTTCAAATAAATGAAATAATCTCATATTTTATTTCTGTTTCCCTGAACTGCATTTCTCACTAGTACTTTACATTTTTAGCCCTCCCTTCCTCCCCACTGGGGAGGGCAGAGGTAAATGGGAGGTAATGAACAGATACACTAGTAAAATAACACTGTGAGAGGAAATGCCTAGTATCCATTCCCTTTTGAAAACTAGCCATGGAATGGATGGAAATCCCTGATTAGTGCACAGGGCAGAAGCAATGAGCTGCTGATAAATGCAAGCCTCTGCCTGGGACATTGGGAGTTTGCTCTCTTCTCTCCTTTAGCTGCTGTTCAGAACCTTTTCTTTGGTTAGTTTTGTTTTCAAAGTTATACAGTTTCTAGCAAGGCACTGATGGCAAACTGCAGACACAATCAGTGGAGAAAACGAGAAATACAGGAAATGGTTCTGGGATGAGGGTAGTGGGAGCAGAGGAAAAGCCTTTACTTCAACCCAAGCCCGCACTTTCTCCCGCCCCTTTCCCCTTGGAAAACTCTCATCTCCAGTCCTTAAAAATCTCGCCCCTTCTGAAATAACCCTACACGTTTAGGTTGGAGGAAGATTTGTGGGAATCTTTAACTTTTTCCAAGTTCAAAGAACATTGGACCGCTAAATGGAAAAAAGCAAACAAGCAAGCATGTGCTTAAATAAATCCAGAAACACACACACATTCGCTTTTTGCTTAAATAAATCCAGAAACACACACACATTCGCCTTTCAGTCCTTTACCCAGGCTGAACCCACAGAGACAATCAGCCCAGATGTGGTCTGCCCCACCTCCACGCCCATCTTTTCCCATCCCGCAACTCCTCCATTCCCACCCCCATCACACCGCTTCCCACAAAAATGCAGCCGGGCCGTTTGTAGCAGGCTCGACTAAACCCCCCACACAATACTGTACGGAAAGGCGCTGGCACCCAACCTCAGCTGGGTGTTCGGAGCGCCCAGGATGGACCAACGCGGCTAGCTGAGATGAGCGCACGGAGCGCCAGCTTAGTCCGCACCCACTCGCAGCAGCCAGAGCCCAGGAGGAGCGGCCGGCCGGACTTATCTACCTCCCTCCAGCATCCCCCGGGGGAAGCGGTTCCAGGAACAATTTTTTTCCATTTCTTTTGCAGGCAGTAGCAGCCGCGGCAGAGGAGCCAAGGGAAGAAACAGCAGCTTCCTTCCCATTCTCACCAAGCCTCCGGCCCCTATCCCTGGCCAGAGGGAGCTCGCTGAGGTTTGAGCTGGGGATCTCCTCTCAGCCCCTTTCTCTTCTTCCACTTTCCTCTCAACCCAAGTTCCCGAGTCGGAGCGAAGCAGCTTTGTGAGAGTGAAACTCCGGAGAAAGCCCGCCCGCAATAGGGGATTCAGCAGCCTCTGTCCCGTAGCCCCAGGCCAACTCTGTCTGGGAGTCAGAGCGAGCACAGCTGGGTTTAGCTAGGCTTGGCCCGGCCACCGGCTGCTCCCCCCGGCACCGCCGCCTCTCCTCCGGACAGGCTTCTCCTTCCAAACCCCCCAAATTAAATCAGAGAAATACACCGCACTCGTGGGGGGCGGGTCGCGGGGCTGAGGAACAGAGAAGGGCACCCCCTGCCCAGCCAAAGGAGCCCAGGGCTCTCCACCCCGTGCCCTCTCCTCTCCCGGGCTCGAGGGTGAATGAATGGAGCTGACCCCCCAATTCCTTTCCCTCACTTACCGGCCCGCCCAGAGCAGAGAGAGAGTTGCCGTCGTCCTTGTGGGGAGGCTGGCCGCCAGCTGGGCCCACAGGGCAGCGACTCCTAGGGCTCGGACCCTGGGCCGGGAAGTGGCCGGGGATTTCGCCAACAAGCCTTTTCTGCCCTTACGCCTCTTTCCCACCTCGCTCTTGGCTCCGTTGGCCGCTAGCCCCAGGACTGTTGAGTGGAGGAGGGACCAGGGAAAGGAGGAGGAGGAGGCAAGAGGATTGGGGAGGGGAAAGGGGGGTCGAGAGGGGTTGGAGGAGGAGGAGGAGAGGAACCGGGGTTTAACACTGAAAGAACTCTAACTTCCACCACCACGGGGGCCGACAGAGAGAGACAGAGAGAGAGAGAGAGGCAGAGAGACAGAGAGAGAGAGCAATCGAGCCTCAGTGTCCAGGACGGGCCAGAGACTTACTCTCTCCCTCCATTCACCAGGGTCTGGCCTCTCAGCTCCTCGTCTCCAGTCCTGCAGACAGTCCCCTAGAAGCCCGGGAGAGGGGCGTGGCGTCACGGTGGGAGGGGCGGAGAGAGCCGAAGGGGGCTCTCCTCTGGGGGCGGGGCAGTTGGGAGGTCCAGAAAGGAGTGGCCAGCGGGGCTCGGGGGGAGGTGTCCAGGGGAAAGGGGGGCGGAGAGCCAGGGATCTGGGCAGGGGGAGGGAATGGAATGGAGAGAAGAGAGGTCCTGGCTGGCGGGAAGGGACCAAGGGGTTGTCCTAGGGGAGGTGGGGGCAGGGGAGAGAGGTGTGTCTTGCAGAGAAGGGGAGTGTGTTGCAGAAAGGGGATCCCGAAGAGGAGGGGCGAAGGAACCCCAGGGGAGTGCAGACTAGCGCGGGACTGGACAGCCTGGGAGCGCTGGCTGGGAGGGCATCCGTGGGTCAGGGAGCTGGGTGGTAGGAGGAGGAAGCGAGCCGGCTGGTGTGGAGTGGTCACCACCGCGCTGGTGTCTTTCAGAAGCCCCAGTGCTCCAGAACTAGAGGCTGGGCCACCTTGGGGTTTAAAAGCAGGGCCTCTAACTTCAGGAGTCCTGGGGATGGATGCGCCAGGGCCAGACCGGGCTGGGGGAATCCCCCGGGAGCAAAGAAGTAGTTTCAGATCAACTCTCTCATGAGAGCAAGAACTAGCGCCAAGCTGCAGAATGGCCAAGCCGAGTTCCGGCCCTTGGCGCCGGCTAGGGAGGGACAGAGGGGCGGAGTCCCGGGGCGCCTCTCCAATGCCCAAACGGTAGAGCAAGGGGCAGAAAAAACCCAGAGCTGGGCAAGAAGATGTGCCAGCTGCGATCCCTGAGCCAGAGGGTGACATGTGGGAAGTAGCAGGGTCCGGGGGCAGTAGAGGGAGAGGAAATGGAAAAAACAAAAACAAAAATCTTCCCTTCCCCAGCTGTGAACTCTGAGACTGTGATTTAGGGAAGGAAGAAGGGAAATAGAGAAGGGGGAAAGAGAAGGTAACAGACAGTCAAAATTTGGTCAGGCCTTGGTCCTGTCTAAACAATGTAGTTACTACCGTACTCGATTTCTCCTTTCCCGTAGAGAAAGTTTTCGAACTTCTAGAAGGGGCACCAGCTGAAAATGGGCCTATAAGGAAAAATGATTCCTTGTCTCTTGATCTGTTCTCATGCAACTTAACTTACTTAGACCATGAATTAGTATTAACAAAAAAACAAAATCACACCAAAAAAAAAAAAAAAAACCCAAAAGAACAAAAACCCAAACCCAGAATCTGTAGGAAAACAACAGATCTTACCTGTAGCCAACAGTCATCAAAACTTGATATTCAAGAAAGAGTTAAAAGGTTACTAAGAATTCAAAAGCTAAGTTCCACTGGGGTTGGGGGGGGGAGGGTTGCTTTCAGAAGAGCTGGACTAAAGACCCAGACTCGGTCCAACGAATCTTTGCTCTTCTCCAAGTTTATTAATCCACCCACTTTCCTAGATTTTGTGTGATGACTTCTACATTCCAGAGAAATGAACCTTTCTTAGAATTTCATCTAAAAGTTGTACAGTGTTCCCATTCTTTAAGCATACAGTAATACCAAGATATTTTCAACCTCCGAAGCTCCCGGATCTCTTTTCAATCCTTAACTTGGGTATTCTTGGAGGCTTCTTTGGTACTTTCGTTATATACTCCCTCCTCAATCACAGTCACATCCCAATCTTCAACAATCATCAAAGCTGGTATCTTCCAATCTGTGTATGTCTCTAGCACTGATTCTCCTAGGAACTTCAGATGTACATCTCCAATTACAGGACACCTCTACCTGTATGTACCATACTCAAGGTGGCCAAAACAGAGCCATAATCATATGAACAGCTTGGTATAGCTAAAAGAGAGCTGGATTTAGAGCTATGGAAAACCTGTGTTCAAGTCCTCCTTCTGCTATTGGTTAAGTGTCCAAGCTCCTGCAAGTCACTTGAGGCCTTTCTAGACCTCAGTGTTCATCTATAAAAATGAGGAGGTTGGCATAGGTATCTAAGTCACTTTGCATCTTTAAGTCTTATGCTACCACAAATGTTTTCCCCAAAGCAGATCTTCCTACAAACTTCTCTTTCTGTTATTATCTGACCAAGCTCAAAATCTTGGTGTCATCTTTGACCCTTCCTTTTCTCTCACATCCTGTAGCCAGCCACTTCCCAAGTCCTATTTATTAGTACCTTCACAATTTGTGGTCCATCTGTTCTTTCTCTTTTTCTCCTTTACAAGAAATTAGGTGTCAACCACTATTTCATACAATGCACAACAATGAACTCCATAGGGATACTAGATGCAAATATCAATGGTCATATCATAGGAAAATCAGAGTTGACTAGGTACTCAATAAATGCGTTTTGACTATGATATGTGCTTGTAATGGAATACAGCAGGTTTTTTTTAAAAAACAAAACAAAACCTGGAAAGACTTACAAGAACTGATACATAGTGAAGTGAGCAGAACCAGAACACTGTACACAGTAATAACAATATTTTACCATGAACAACTGTGAATGACTTAACTATTCTCAGCAATATATTGATCCAAGACAATCCGAAAGGAATTATGATGAAAAATGCTATCTGCTGCCAGAGAAAGAGTTGATAGTGTATGAATACAGACTGAAGCATACTATTTTTCATTTTCTTTCTTCCTTCTTTCTTTTTTTTTTTGGTTCAGGTTTTCTTGCACAAAATGACTAATATGGAAATGTTTTACATGATTGCACATGGATAACTTATATCAGATTGCTTACCATCTCAGGAAAGGGGAAGGAGAAAGAGGGAAGGAGGGAGGGATAGAATTTGGAACTCAAAACTTTAAAAAAAATTGTTAAAAATAGTTTTTACATGTAATTGGGGAAAAATAAAATATTATTTTAAAAAATAAATGCTTATGGACTAATTGACATACCCTGTCCAGCCAGATCCTTGTTTGGGGGAGGATTCTTAACCAAATTAGGGATAGATATGATTATAAAAGAAAGAATAAAATTGAATGGGTTTTTCCATGAGTAACATCAACAGGACTAAATAAGAAGATAAGCTGTTAATTGGGAAAAATATTTGCATCAATTATATTCTGATGGAAATCTAGATATAAGAACTAGGATATATATAGCACTTTAAGGTTTCACAAAGTGATTTACAAATATTATATCATTTTCTCCTCACAGAAGCCCTGGGAGGTAGCTGCTATTATTATCCTCATTTTACAGATGACAAAATTGAAGCAGATAGAGGTTAAGTGACTTGCCCAGGATCACCCAGCTAGTTAGTGTCTGAGGTTAAATTTGAATCCAGGTCTTCCTGACTCTAGGTCCTTCTGGACTTCCTGATTTTCTATCCACTGTGCTTCCTGGCTATCTATATAAATATATGGGGACTTGAGACAAAATATATGACTAGGAGACATTTCTCAATCAGTCAACAGTCAATGGGTATAAACAAAGAGTTTTCAAAAGAAGAAAAAAAAGATCAACTACAAATATTACAATAGCTCATCAATTTAGCAAAGATGATTAAAGTCCAAAATATTCAATTTGGGGAGGGCTATGAGAAGACAAACAGACTAATGCAGTTTTGATAGAGCTATGAATTGGTTCAACTGTTCTGTAAAACAATTGGTAATTATTCGAGAAAAGTCAATAAACTGTTCATACCTTTTACCTAGCCATACCTCTACTGGGCATGTGTACTAAAGACATCAATGGAAAAAAAAAAGGAAAGGTCCCACATATAACAAACCATTCTTTGTGGTTGCCAAACAAAATGAGAAATGATATGTAAGCCCATCAACTTGGTAATAGCTGAACAATTTGTGATGTATAAATATAATGGAATATTATTGTACTGTAAGAAAAAATGAATATAAGGAAGTCAGAATAATATACAAGACTTGTATGAACTGATGCAGAGTGAAAAATTAGCAGAACCAGGAGAACACACAATGACCATGAAAACATAAATAAAAATAACATGAAAAGGCATTTGAACTTACATTAACTGCAATAAAAAATCTTGGCTTTGTAAAGCAGATGATGATATATGCTCTAAGTAGAGAGGTGGAGGACTGAGATTTCAGAATATTTCATACATTATCAGAGAGGATGGCTTTGTCAGTTTTGCTTGACTTTCTCTTTGTTATAGGGCAGAGATGTCAAACACACTGCAAGCCACCTTGACACCCCACCCCCACCCCAACTCCCCAGGAACCAGATTAAAAAAAGTGATTGGGAAATATATAGCAAAATAAATAAAAAACATAATAGAACATAAATAAAGTTAATTTGTAGTTTTGAAAGTTAATATGCAGAGATCCTTATGTATGGTTTAGTGGCCCCAAGTTTCTATTTGAATTTGACACCTCTGTGATAGGGAACTTTATTACCACTATTCAAATCTCCTAAAGACACCAAAGAAAGAGGAAAATGACCTATTTATACAAAAATATTGATAGACATTTTTTTCTAATTCCAAAGATCTAGAAACAAAGTGGGAATACATCAGTTAGGGGAATAGCTAAACAAATTAGAGATATATTATTGTAATGGAATATTATTGCACCTTAAGAAATAGTGAAAGGGATAGATTTAGAGAAGTCCTGGAAGATTTGTATGAACAGATGCATAGTGAAGTGACCTGAATAAGAATAATTTTTACAACTATAACATTGTAAAGGAAAATAATTTTGAAAAGCTTAATTCCAATAAACTAACGACCAATCAAGACTCCAGAAGACTGATGATGAAGCAAGTGTCCCATGCAGAGAGCTGATGGAATGTAGGTACAGAAGAAGTCATACATTTTCAGAAAGACCAATGTATAGATTTGTTTTGTTTGACTACGCTTATTTGGCACAATGGGGAGCTTTTTTGGTGGGAAGAGTTGGGGAGGGGGTAGTGGTAGAAATGCAAGAAAAAATATATAAAAGAAAGAAAAGAGTATTCAGAAAGGGTAAAGATAAGAATATTCAGAAGTCCAGAAAAGCAGGATAATGTTAGTACTACT